AGAGCCCAGGATGGTTCACAGCTTCCTCATCTAATCAGTCAGGTGCTTCTCACTACTTACAGCTGCTGCAGTGCTAATCCCCACCTATGCTACTGGCTGACCACAGCAGGCCTTGTTTCCCAGCTGTGGCTATGGTGTTTCCCACCCTGGCATCTTGGATGTGATTGTATTCTCTGGCACAGCAGGGTCCTAATTCAGGCTATGCAACAGGGGTCATGGTCTTACCTGAAAACATAAACTCTGCAAAAGCACAGCAAGAGGGGGGCAGCTGCAGTGTTTATTTGACAATCACATGCAGTGCTATACAATTCAGTCCCCCTGCTTGCTCACCTCCCTTCCTCCCAGATGCTGCTCAACAGCTGCTGCTGCAACATCTGGAAATGAGTCCTTTTATTTAAAATGGCCAACGTAAGTTTCCAGGCCAGGGACTTCAGGGGAAGCCAAGGGAAAAGGTGTCAGGCTCCATCACCCAGTGCACATCCTCTGCAGCTCGAGGACGGAAGCAGTACCCATCTGTCCGTGTGCCAGGGCAGACCCTGCAGTCTCTGCGCTCTTGTCCCACACGGTGCCCACCACTACAGAATGTTCTTGGCAATCGCGTTCAGGGTCCTCACTTTGGCCACATCCGCCACCTTTATGGAGTACTCGGGCGCAGAGAAGGACGCTCCCATGGCAACGTTCGGATTTCTGTCAGGAAAACCAGTGATTAGTGGTGATCTGCTGCCGATACAGATGGGAAAGATCCACCAAGAAAAACACCCCCATATTTCCCCTAGCTTCAGCATTGGCCAAAGATGGTGCCACCCAAACCAAAGCTAAGACAGGAATAGAAAGAACAATAATCCTAAGCCTAAGAAGTGCAGACCTATGGACAAATATAGCCCATTCCTCACTCAATTTTCAGAAGCATATCCCACTGGCTTGCCGAATCCTACTTGCTTATGTTAAAATTCTAAGGCAACTACACCACAACCTGCCTTCCCAAGTGCCCTCAAAACTCCTAGGGCAGCAGTAGCAAGAGAAATGCCCCAAGGATCAGGTTCTGCATGGAACACATGTCCTCGTGAGGAGTACTGCTGGATTCATACACTGCAGAATACAGCAGCAGGCACCATGATCCCAAACATAAAAGCACAACTAGTACTCAGGAAGCTGTTTGAAATCTATGCCAGTTCTACAAACTAATGTTCACATTCATTAGCCTTTCCCTCACAGAGTTCTGCTAAAAAATAAGCATAAATAATCAGTTACCTGAACTTCATCCCTGAGTCCCGAGCTGAGCGAGCAGAGCAGTGAAACTCGGAAGCAGTGGAGCCTTCCAGAATCCTCTGCAGGTTGCGCTCCGTGATGCCACCTCCTGGTGGGAACAAGCCCGATGTCACACACCGAGCAGATGTCACCATGCCAGACCTGACATCACCCCGGGACCTCACCACCAAGGGACAGGAGCCAAGTACACCAAAGGGAAAAAACAGCCCTTGGGACAACGGGCACGTCAAAAGAGATGGGAGAAGCCTTGGCTCATGTTCTCCCATAGATACAGAGCTGTCCCCAAATCCTGCAGGGAGCAATAGCCACAGGGCTCACCCTCCCCAATGGGCTGCATGGCCTTTAATCACACCAGGACAGGAGCTGCTCCTTCTGGCTCAGAAAGCCAGATCAGAAAGTGGATTCCAGGGCAAGGAGGCTAGCAAGGAAAGGCTAAGGATTGCAGGACCTGACACAGATGACAAAAAACCATTACCTGGCACCACCACAATTCTGCCCTTTGCCTGAAAGAAGAGTAACATACATGTCAGTGATATTAAATGACGACCATATCCACATGTGCATTTGTGAGGTAGCAAAGAAATCTCACATGCAGCACTTTCCATAAGGTCATGGATTTCACCGTGGTTTACAGTTTGTGTGCTATCACCCATCTCTTTTGTATTATTCACGTTTTAAAAAGGAAAAGTGGAAAAGAATTTGCAGTTACAGCTAAGGCAACCCTATTCCCTCCCACCTCTCCATCTCCCCCTTGCTACCTCTCAGGTACCATCCCACCTTGCTACCTCACCTCTTGCACTTTCCTAAAAGGAACTGTGAGACACTCAGCAGGACCTCACTCTACTGTTTGTGTGGGCTCATCACACCAGCTGTTTAAACCAACTCCCACCACCCTCCCCAAATCTGCAAGCAAGAACCCAACCAGTTTTTGTTGTGGAAGACTTCAGGACTTTGGGAAACAAAATTAAAGCCAAGCAAGAGAGGGAAGGCAAGCACTTCCTGACAGAAGTCCCTTGCAGAAATGAGGGATACCACAAAGCAGCTGCCTGCAGGCAGTGCCAGGGAGCAGCCACAGTAACCCATGAGAGCACAGCACTCACCTGTTCTGCAAGCCTCTTAATCAAGGACAATCCTTCCAGTGCCGAGCTGTCACAGCCGCTCGTCAGCACCCGCTCAAAGCCCAGGGAAATCAGGGTCTCCAGTGCCACCATCGGGTCATGCACCATGTCAAAGGCTGAGGGACCAGAACAACAGCTCAGAAATTGCTCAGTCCATTGTGCTCAAGCCCTGTCCCTCAGCCAGTTCCCCCAAAGGCAGCGACAGGAAGGGTCCTGCTCACACCCTGGATTCACAGCTCCTGACTGTAACACTCCCCTTGCAGCAGTGCCAGGGCCACCATACTCAGCCCCTCAGACACCTCCTCTCTCACAGGGCAATGAGACATCTCCCAAACCTGAGCCCCCTGGACCTTTTCTCTTGTGGGGAATAGCACAGCCTACAGAGCTTTCCCCCTCCAAAGAATGTCCCAAAAAGATGAAGCTCAGCTCCCCCAGCCCCACCTCCCCAGCAGTGGGACAGACTGGACCCTGCCAAGGGCCACTGTCCCTGGAAACTCACCGCGGTGAAATGTGACTGGCAAGGGACGGCACACGGCTGCAAAAAGAAGACATACGGTCAGTCAGAGCTGCTACAGAGTTCCTTGTGCTAGAACCAGAAACATACACAATATGGAAGAGGGCAAAGGCTTCTCAAGCCATTCCCGGGGAGCTCAGAGAATTCCCATTCTTGCTGGGAAGAATACTGTGCATCCAGGTTTTTTCGTGGGGAAGAGTTCTTCTGCCCTTTGAGAAAGCAACAAACCTTTGGTTTTATAGGTAACATCAAAATCCCCCATCCTCTCTGGAACATGCAGAACCCTCACTCCCACCACAGATGACTTTCTCAGCAGGAAGGAAGGAGGGAAGTTGTATCATCTACCTGGGGAAAGGCCAGGACCATTGCTCTTTCAGAGCAGGGGAGCTAGCTGATGTTTGTGATTTCTTTCACCACCTATAATATCTGATCTCAGACCACAGCAAACTTCACCAGAGGTCCTCTACTTACTGAGCAAAGCTTATTTATTTCTACAACAAGATATCCACCTGCTCCCTGCTAAATCCTAGCAAGACCCTTTTCTTTGCTCACTCCTTACAGCACATTCACCTTTGTATGAGACCCTCAGCACCACACCAGGGAAAAGTGCAGCCCTCTTTAGCTTTGGCTGTAGCACCAAATAAACATGCAGTGAGAAAGAGAATTTCCTTCTGCATGTTTGTGGTCTGGGCTAATAGTCTCCCACTGCAGTTTCAGCAGCTTTTCACACCTCTCTCTTGTAATCTTTTCTCCCTGTGTGTGTTAAGAGAGGAAAATGAAGATGAATTGCCAGCTACACTCAAGGTTAAAGTCCAGGAGATACATATCCTAGACACCTGTAGCAAGGTCATAAGGAAAAGAACAAAAGACAAAGAAAAAGAGAGAGAGAATTCAACAGGTCAAAGCAGCTCACCTAAGCCTTTTTACACTTTTGTGTATGTCCCAGGTGGCCTCAAACTCTGTGTGAATGGCTTGGGGCTGTGGCCTTCAGCCTGCAAAGTTTCTAAACTACTTAATGTCTCACAGGTATGGCAGGAAATGAATCCAAAAACGGTGGAAAGAGATGGCAAGACCACAGGATAGGACGTGCAGACAGAAGCCCTCCGTACAGTTCTACGGCATGAGCCGGAGCAGCGCTACCGCCCCGGCAGCGCACCGAGCCGTGCCCGAGCCCCTCACCCAGCAGCGCCGTGCACAGCTCCGTGTCGATGCGCCCGTCCTCGGTGAGCGCCCCGAACACCAGCCCGTCAGCGCCGTGCAGCTTGGCCAGGCGGATGTCGGCCTTCATCACCTCCACCTCCCGGTCCGAGTAGAGGAAATCCCCGCCGCGGGGCCGGATCATGACGAACACCGGGACCCGCACGCACTGCTTCACCACCTGCAGCAGCCCTGCCGCGGGACAGCGGCGGCTCAGCGCCCGCCGGCACCGGCTGGCCCCGAGCGCACGGAGGCCAGCCGAGGGAGACCGACGGGAAGGCGGCCCGGCGGCGGGCGCGGCTCACCCATGCTCGGGGTGGTCCCTCCTTCCACGAGGCCCGCGCACAGCTCGATCCGCCCGGCACCTGCGGAGAGGCGCGTCAGGACCGGCGCCGCCGCGCCGCCGCCCCCTCCCGCCGGGCCGCCGGGCCTTACCTCCGCGCTCCGCGTTGACGGCGGACTCCACCGAGTCCACGCACACCTCCATGAGGAACCCATCGTCCATGCCTGCGGGACGGGAGCGCCGCGGTCACCCCGGCCCGCCCCATGCCGTCCGCCCGGGCCGCGCCGGCCCCGCCGCGGGCCCGCCCCGCTTCCGCCCGAGGCGCCGCCCCCGCCCGCGCTTCCGGGCCCGCCCCCCGCGGCCCGGGCCGCGCCGCCCGTCGGCGCGCGGGCGGGCGGAGGCGCGGGCCGCGGGCCGGGCGCGCCCACGCCGGCGCGCGCAAGCCCCGCCCCCCCGGGCGCCTCGGCCCCGCCCCCGCCGCCGCCGCGCGGGCCCCGCCCCCGCCCCGCGCGCGCCCTCAGCACCGGCGCTGGCGGCGCGCGGGGCTCGCTCTCCGCGCCGCCGGTCACGCGCCGCGCGATCGTCATGGCGACGCCCAGGCGGGTCCGGAAGTGCTCGTCCCGCGCTTCCGGCGGCGACACTTCCGGGGTGGCTCGGGATGCTGCGGGCGGCGCGCGGCGGGGCCCGGCGGCTGCTGCGGGGGGAGCTCGCACCGCCACCGGCACCGCCACCGCCACCGGCACCGGCGGCACACCGCCGCCTGCCCCCGCGCCTCTGCCTGCCGCGCCGCCTGCTGCACCAGGCGCCCCAGCCCGCCGCGCCGCCGCCCGCCGTGGGGCGATGGCTGCTGGCCTGCAGCGGTGCCGTGGCCGGTGCCGTGGTGCTGGGCGGCGTCACCAGGTGAGCGCGGCACCCCAGCCCCGCCGGGACGGGCGCACAGCGGCTCCATGGGGACAGCCGGCCGTGTGTGCCCTCCTGTCCGCCCCGCCGCTGACCCTCTGCGGCTGTCCTCACCCGAGAGAGCCTGAGAGCTCCGCCCGTGTCTTCCGCGCTTGGCTGCGAGGGGACGTGGGGCTGGGAGTACCGGGGGGTCTGTTCATAGGATGCCACCGCCGGGTAGCTCTTACACATTTATCGTCATTTTAGGTGTGGTCACTCACAGACTCTCTGATCTCCATCCTGTTCCTAGTTGTGAGCTTAAGGATTGTCCGAACAAGGGTTTTAAGACTTATCATAGAGTATCCTGACTTGGAAGGGTCCCACAAGGACCACCGAAGTCCCAGCTCCTGGGTTGTGCAGCCAGCAGCTCTTACTTCAGTAGTTTGCTGCCTGCCAAGGAGTGAGTTGTGCCTGTTCGTGTCTCTGCTGCCAGGCTGACAGAATCAGGCCTTTCCATGGTCGACTGGCACCTGGTGAAGGAGATGAAACCCCCCCGAACGCAGCAGGAGTGGGAAGCCGAGTTCCAGAAGTACCAGCAGTTCCCCGAGTTTAAGATGTGAGTGTGCAAAACTTGAAGGAGGGTGGGCTGAGAGCATCCTTCCTGCGACTGAGCCACTCACAAAACTATTTTAAGAAGGAAAATGTTCTCAGAAGTCACTGGGAAGGCTCACAAAGCCTGCCTGGTGGTGGCTCCCGTGTTCCCTGCCGTTCTCTGAGGAAGGCGATCCTGTGTCGTGCAAAGTTCCGTGGGGGCTGTGAAACAGTGGCTTTGTTGTCCTTTAACAGCCTGAACCACGACATGACGCTGCCGGAGTTCAAGTTCATCTGGTACATGGAGTACTCGCACCGCATGTGGGGCCGCGCCGTGGGCCTGGCCTACCTCCTGCCTGCCGCCTACTTCTGGCGCCGCGGCTGGCTCAGCCGGCCCCTCAAGGGCCGCGTGCTCGCGCTCTGCGGGCTGGTCTGCTTCCAGGTGAGAGCATCCCCGACAGCCTCTCGTGTCACAGAACGACCTGAAAAATCACTGGTTTTAACCCCTGAGCCAGAATGCCTTCCACTAGACCTCTTTGCTCAGAGCTCCATCCAACCTGACCACGGATGAGGCATCCACTGCTCCTCTGAGAAACCTGTTCCACTGCCCACCACCCTCGCAGCACAGAATTTTTTCCCAGTATCTAATCTAAATCTGCCCTCTGTCAGTTTGATATCTTCTGATTCAGCAGAACTAAGACAGTGGGAGTCATGATAACTTGTGTCAGTGACGCCATGACAGTGTGTCAGTGCTGCTAGCTAGTTGAAAGTACAGGAAACAACTTGCTTTGCCCCTAATGTTTATCCCATTTTAGTAGTTGCCGCTGACCTGTCTGGCTCTGAGCCCTCTCCTGTTTTGTTAGGGGTTGCTGGGATGGTACATGGTGAAGAGTGGGCTGGAAGAGAAGCCAGACTCCTACGACATCCCTCGGGTCAGTCAGTACCGTCTGGCAGCACACCTGGGCTCTGCCCTGGTCCTGTACTCTGCCAGCCTGTGGACAGGGCTGTCTTTGCTGCTTCCACAACACAAGGTATGCAGTGGCGTGTCAGGGCAGTGTCAGGTCAGAGGGTTGGGGTGTGATGTGAAGGTAAGGAAAGATTGTGAAGGCTGATGGTGCTTCTCTTGTAGTCTCTGTTCCTGACTCTGATCTAATACTTACAGTGTTACAAAATACCCATTCTGTAAATTTCTTGGTTATGGGACACTTGCTTTAGCTCGTGCTGTTGTTATGGGACACTTGCTTTGGCTCGTGCTGATCAGGTCATAAGGGATGAGTCTCAGAATTTGTGGAAGTTCAGCCAGGGGTGTGCCTGGCTGGGCAAAATTATATGTGCCAGTAACTGTCCAGGGGCCACTTCAGTTTTTGCACAGAGCTGGACTTTATTAGCTGTGGTTTTGAGGGACCTCTGAAGTGTGGCTCTGTGTGGTGGTCTGTAAAATACAGGCCACCAAACCTTTGGCCTGTGTATGTTACAAAGGCTTTTCTTAGCTGCTGCCAACAGCTCTGCAAATGCCTTGATTATTTCTTTTCCTTTTTTGTTATTTTACAGTTGCCAGAAACAAAACAGCTCCTTCGCTTGAGACAATATGCTCATGGCACTACAGCTCTCATTTTTCTGACTGCTCTTTCAGGTAAAGCTCTTTCTGCTGCCCAGTTTGTGACTCATTCCTCTCTGCTGGTTGGGTTTATTTTCTTCTGTTCTGTGAGCAACTCCATCCATTCTCTGGGAAAACTGCTGCTGTCAGGGATCTTACAGTCCAGAACCTCCTCATTGGTCCTTCCCGGGCAGGTGGAATAAGCACCTTCCAGCCTTCCTGTGCTGTGTGATCTCTGTATATGTTGATAAAAGAAATTCAGGATCAGCCTGAGCTCTTGAGTGAGAGCTGTGCAACCTGGAGTGACACCTTTGTCTGCTCTGGTAGTCTCATTTTCTACTCTGGAATTGCAGGTGCCTTTGTGGCAGGGCTGGATGCTGGCCTTGTGTACAATTCCTTCCCCAAAATGGGGGAGCGCTGGATCCCAGATGATCTCCTTGCCTTCTCCCCCGTGCTGAGAAATATCTTTGAGAATCCTACAACTGTACAGTTTGATCACAGGATCTTGGTAAGTGCTGTCTTCCTGATATGTCTGGGCTGCTTCTTGCTTGCCTCCTGCAGCCAAGTTGTCTTCTTTGGGCTGTGGTTCTGTCAGCTTGAGTGATTTCTAGGGTGTCCAAAGGGCCTGAGAGTGTCTTACCAGTTTGCTTCTGCAGGAAGAGGAAGTTTAGCATTGTTTTTTATTTTCAGTGTGGCCTTCTTCCTTAAGGAGTTCTTCCTCCAGCGCAAGTAACACACTTTGTTTCTCTGATTCTCCTTTTCCATAGCATGAGCTACAGTGTGGGAAGGGTCTCCTTGCTATTGAAATGTTTGGGAAAGCTGTGTGAAATAAAACTTGGAAATCCTGATATTGAATGCTTCCTCCAGCATTTCTGAACTTGTTTTGCACAGTAGTGCCCTGTGAATATATCACAGCTAGTTAGAGCAATCTGGATATTAAATACCACTGGCAGCACTGCTGTGAGCTAAGCTGTGGCTAAGACTAAAAAAAGAAAGATTAATCTGGATCACCTTGGGTGACCTGCATAGCAAGATTGTGCTGGTGAACTATAGCTGAGTGGTGGAAATGAGATCAGTTTTCCAGATGACAGCTTCCACCTTCAAATGTCAAGGTAGCAGCTGGGGAGAGGGCAGACACAAATCTCTGATGACTTGAATCAATTAGAGGAAGCTGTTGAAAACTAAACATTCATTTGAAGCAAAATAAAATTCTCTGTAACTTCACTTAAATTTCAGGATTGTTAACCTGATGGTTAACTTCTAGGATTTTGTCGTGGCCATTAATACATTTCTTTAGTTAAATTTAGTTCTGACACAACTCTTTTACTGCATGGAAGGCACAGCCAAAGGCCACTGCACCCATTTCCCTTGAACTTTCATTGAAGGGTGGTTGTTTCCCTTCCCTTCTGTAGGGAATTGCCTCCATCACAGCTGTCACAGCACTGTACCTCTTCTCAAGGAAGATCCCACTCCCTCGAAGGACCAGGATGGCTGTGGCTTCCTTACTGGCCATAGCTTGCACGCAGGTACCGCCCTTATTTTTTTCCTACTCCTTTGTAGCACGTTCACAAGGCAGACTTGACCCCATTTGGATCTGTGTTGGCTCCAAGAGTGCAGAACTGAGAGGTGGAGCTGCCTAACCCCACACCTCACCATACTGCACGCACACTGAATTTGGAGTGGCTCATGGTGTGGCCGTGAGCCTTTCTAACAGCACGCTTTGTGCTGGGAATGGTGTCAGTGGCGCATCCACAACTGCTCTTACCTCTTCTCCCTTCTCGGCAGGTGGGCCTGGGCGTCAGCACCCTGCTGCTCTACGTCCCTACGCCTGTGGCGGCGACGCACCAGTCGGGCTCGCTGGCCCTGCTCAGCGCGGCGCTGTGGCTCGTGAGCGAGCTCCGCAGAGTTCCCAAGTGACGCAGAGACTGGGGCGGAGAGCCCCAGGGGAGCCGCGCAGCGGGCGGGGGCGGCCGAGCCCCGAGCCCCGGCTGCGCAGGGCGGTGTGTGCCCGCCCGGGCTGGCGCGGGCGGCGGCGGGTGCGAGTGCGAGCGGTGTGCCATAAAGCCGTTGTGTGCCATAAAGCCGTTGTGTGCCGTAAAGCAGTTCTGTGCCATACAGCAAATGTGTGCCGTAAAGCAGGTGTGTGCCATAGAGCAGGTGTGTGCCGTAAAGCAGGTGTGTGCTGTAAAGCAGGTGTGTGCCGTAAAGCAGGTGTGTGCCATAGAGCAGTTGTGTGCCGTAAAGCAGGTGTGTGCCATAGAGCAGGTGTGTGCCATAGAGCAGGTGTGTGCTGTAAAGCAGGTGTGTGCCGTAAAGGAGGTGTGTGCCGTAAAGCAGGTGTGTGCCGTAAAGCACGTGTGTGCCGTAAAGCAGTTCTGTGCCATACAGCAAATGTGTGCCATACAGCAGGTGTGTGCCGTAAAGCAGGTGTGTGCCGTAAAGGAGGTGTGTGCCGTAAAGCAGGTGTGTGCCGTAAAGGAGGTGTGTGCCGTAAAGCAGGTGTGTGCAGCGCCTGTGTCTGCCGCCGCTCCTTTGGCTGGCACGTGCCGAGGGAGGCGGGGCCGGGCCGGGCCGAGCGGATCCGCCAATGGGAGGCGGCGGCGCCGCCGGCTCGGGCGCGGATTGGCGGGGCGGGCGGGGCGGGGCGGGGTGCCTCCAACCAGTACAGAACAGCTCAAACTGGTACAAACCAGGACAGAACGGTACAAACGGGTCCAAAGCGGTACAAACCGCTACAAACCCCTTCAATGCACTTCAAACCGGCTGAAACCGGTACAAACCAGTACTGGTTCAAACTGGCTCAAACCGCCTGAAACTGGTTCAAACTGGTTCAAACCGGCTGAAATCAGCTCAAACCAACTAAAACCGGTTTCAACCGGTTCCGACCGGTTCAATCCGGTTCAAACCGGTTCCGACCGGTTCCGACCGGTTCAAACCGGTTCCGACCGGTTCAAACCGGTTCAGACCGGTTCCGACCGGTTCAATCCGGTTCAAACCGGTTCCGACCGGTTCAAACCGGTTCTGACCGTTCAAACCGGTTCCGACCGGTTCCGACCGGTTCAGACCGGTTCAGACCGGTTCCGACCGGTTCAAACCGGTTCCGACCGGTTCGAACCGGTTCAGACCGGTCACACCGGTTCCGACCGGTTGAAACCCGTTCCGACCGGTTCCGACCGGTTCCGACCGGTTCCGACCGGTTCAATCCGGTTCCGACCGGTTGAAACCGGTTCCGACCGGTTCCGACCGGTTCAAACCGGTTCCGACCGGTTCCGACCGGTTGAAACCGGTTCAGACCGATTCAGACCGGTTCAATCCGGTTCAAACCGGTTCCGACCGGTTCCGACCTGTTCAAACCGGTTCAGACCGGTTCCGACCGGTTCAAACCGGATCAAACTGGTTCAAACCGGTTCCGACCGGTTCAATCCGGTTCAATCCGGTTCCGACCGGTTCGAACCGGTTCAGACCGGTTCAATCCGGTTCCGACCGGTTCCGACCGGTTCAAACCGGTTCCGACCGGTTCAATCCGGTTCCGACCGGTTGAAACCGGTTCCGACCGGTTCCGACCGGATCAAACCGGTTCCGACCGGTTGAAACCGGTTCCGACCGGTTCAGACCGGTTCAATCCGGTTCAATCCGGTTCCGACCGGTTCCGACCGGTTCAAACCGGTTCCGAATGGTTCCGACCGGATCAAACCGGTTCAGACCGGTTCAGACCGGTTCAATCCGGTTCCGACAGGTTCCGACTAGTTCAGACCGGTTCAATCCGGTTCCGACCGGCTCCGACCGGTTCCGACCGGTTCAAACCGGTTCAAACCGGTTCCGACCTGTTCAAACCGGTTCTGACCTGTTCAAACCGGTTCCGACCAGTTGAGAGCGGTTCCGACCGGTTCAGACCGGTTCAATCCGGTTCAAACCGGTTCCGACCGGTTCCGACCGTTTCAATCCGGTTCCGACCGTTTCAATCCGGTTCCGACCGGTTCGAACCGGTTCCGACCGGTTCCGACCGGTTCAAACCGGTTCAGACCGGTTCCGACCGGTTGAAACCGGTTCAGACCGGTTCAAACCGGTTCCGACCGGTTCAATCCGGTTCCGACCGGTTCCGACCGGTTCAGACCGGTTCAATCCGGTTCCGACCGGTTGAAACCTGTTCCGACCGGTTCAGACTGGTTCAATCCGGTTCAAACCGGTTCCGACCGGTTCAAACTGGTTCCGACCGGTTCCGACCGGTTCAGACCGGTTCAATCCGGTTCAATCCGGTTCCGACCGGATCAGACCGGTTCCGACCGGTTCAGACCGGTTCAAACCGGTTCCGACTGGTTCATACCGGTTCAATCCGGTTCCGACCGGCTCCGACCGGTTCAAACCGTTTCCGACCTGTTCAAACCGGTTCCGACCAGTTGAGACCGGTTCAGACCGGTTCCGACCGGTGGAAACCGGTTCAATCCGGTTCCGACCGGTTCCGACCGGTTCAATCCGGTTCAAACCGGTTCCGACCGGTTCAAACCGGTTCAAACCGGTTCAGACCGGTTCCGACCGGTTCAGACCGGTTCCGACCGGTTCAATCCGGTTCCGACCGGGTCCGACCGGTTCCGACCGGTTCAGACCGGTTCAATCCGGTTCCGACCGGTTCAATCCAGTTCATTCCGGTTCCGACCGGTTCCGACCGGTTCAAACCGGTTCCGACCGTTTCAAACCGGTTCCGACCGGTTGAAACCGGTTCCGACCGGTTCCGACCGGTTCAAACCGGTTCCGACAGGTTCCGACCGGTTCAGACCGGTTCCGACCGGTTCAATCCGGTTCCGACCGGGTCCGACCGGTTCCGACCGGTTCAGACCGGTTCAATCCGGTTCCGACCGGTTCAATCCAGTTCATTCCGGTTCCGACCGGTTCCGACCGGTTCAAACCGGTTCCGACCGTTTCAAACCGGTTCCGACCGGTTGAAACCGGTTCCGACCGGTTCAGACCGGTTCAATCCGGTTCCGACCGGTTCAATCCAGTTCATTCCGGTTCCGACCGGTTCCGACCGGTTCAGACCGGTTCCGACCGGTTCAAACCGGTTCCGACAGGTTCCGACCGGTTCAAACCGGTTCCGACCGGTTCAAGCCGGTTCCGACCGGTTCCGACTGGTTCAGAGCGGTTCAATCCGGTTCCGACCGTTTCCGACCTGTTCAAACCGGTTCCGACCAGTTGAGACCGGTTCCGACCGGTTCAAACCGGTTCAAAGCGGCTGAAAATGGGTCAAACCGGTTCAAACCTGTTCAAACCAGTTCCAAGCTTTACAAACTGTTACAAACCGGTTGGGAGCGGGCTGGCGCGGGCCGCGGCGGGTGCGAGTGCGAGCGGAGTGCCATAAAGCACGTGTGTGCCGTAAAGCACGTGTGTGCCGTAAAGCACGTGTGTGCCGTAAAGCAGTTGTGTGCCGTAAAGCAGTTGTGTGCTCTACAGCAAATGTGTGCCGTAAAGGACGTGTGTGCCGTAAAGCACGTGTGTGCCGTAAAGCACGTGTGTGCCGTAAAGCAGGTGTGTGCAGCGCCTGTGTCTGCCGCCGCTCCTTTGGCTGGCACGTGCCGAGGGAGGCGGGGCCGGGCCGGCCGAGCGGATCCGCCAATGGGAGGCGGCGGCGCCACCGGCTCGGGCGCGGATTGGCGGGCGGTGCGGGCGGGGCGGGGCGGCCATGGCGGCGCACGGCTCGGCGCTGCCGCTCGTTCTCTTCTCCGCCTTCTGGGGCCTCGTGGGCATCGCCGCGCCCTGGCTGGTGCCCACGGGGCCGGACCGCGGGTGAGTGGGGGCTGGGGGGCGCCGGGCCGGGGCTCGTGCAGCCGGGCCTCCCCGTGCTGACGCCGCTGTCTCCGCAGGGTGATCATCACGATGCTGGTCACCACCGCCGTGTGTTGCTACCTCTTGTGAGTACGGCGGGCCGGGCCCGGTACCTTCCCCCCACCTCCGCTGGCTTCACCGCGACCGGTGGCATCTGCCCGGCCTGCTCCACGGGTGGCCGGGACAGTCCCCGGGCCGCGGCCCGCCCCCTCCCGGGGCAGCGGCCGCTCCCGGCGCTGTTCCTGCCGCGGGGGTGACGGCGGGCTCCGTCCCTTTGCAGCTGGCTCATCGCCATCCTGGCCCAGGCCAACCCCCTGTTCGGGCCGCAGCTGAGGAACGAGACCATCTGGTACGTGCGCTTCCTCTGGGAGTGAGCAGTCCCTGGGAGCCGGCACCTCAGCAGAGAGCCCATCGAGCCATCCCCGTGAGTGGGCACACAGCCGGGCTGGCGGATGGCCCTGCTTGCCTGCCTGGACCTGGCTGGGGAGGGAGCTGCAGCTCAGCCCTTGCTGGGCCGGGGGAAATGCTTTGCTGGTCCCAGTGTGGGGCTGCTGGCTCTGTGCTGGGCCTGAGCAAATCAAGCATTGTAATTCTTACATTTGTGGGAGCTGCCTCATGAATGCAGCTTGGTGCTAACTTCTCTTCCTTTCTCCCTCCCCCAGCTGTTGTAGCTGTTCCAGCCTCTACCCTCCTGTACCAAACAGCCCCCAGAGGTGCTGGGAGAGAGGGTAGACCCGCTCCCCAAGCACACCTGGAGCACTGCAGCCTGGACCAATGGATGGCTGGGCCCCCAAGCATGGCAGGCAAGATCCCTGGATGAGGGCCTACTCATCCAGCCCTAGGAGCAGCCACACTGCCAGGGAGAGATCCCTTCAGCTGGCCAGTGCTGCAGTGGCTGAGCACCATCCTGTGAGGGATCTGTGTGTGGTACGAGTGGGTCCTGTCCCAGCAGTGTTCTTCCTACCCTCTTGGTGTGTTCAGCCTTAGCCCCCATGTGAAACCCCTCCTCGTAGCTTAAGCTGCCCAACTAGTTGCCCTGTCCCTGATCATTGCATCCACTGACTGCCATCTGCATGAGAACATAAGAGCCATTGCATCCTCTGTGGTCTGGCCAGTTCCCTGTGGTGGGAGAACCAGAGGGTTGATCCTAGAGAAGCATGCAAAGCCCCTTGGGTGTGATAAGGGAGGCGTTGGGGTCTGCTGGCAGGGATGAAAAGAGGGCTGTCTCCCACCTGAGCAGTAATGTTTAGGTATCTCCACCATAAGATGGGTCCAGGTTCTGAGGTGAGCCAAGTAGGGCATTGTGTTTCATGTTTCCCCTTATTTATCAGATAATTTATCTGTACTTATTTATTTGTCTGTGTCATTTAGCTTGTGTTGTGGAAATAAATCATTTTTCTAGTAAGTCATGCTGGACGCTGATTCACTTGCTGTTTTGAGGCTGAGCAGCAGTCTTGGCCTTATTCAGACACCTTTCCTTTCCCCAGCACTGTTCTTGCACCATGAGACCAAGGCTGGAATCCTCAGCTGTGGAGGTCAGTAGCAGGCTGGTGTGTGGAAAGTTTTATCCTTGATGCCACCTGTGTGCTCATGCTGTGGGACCAGGGTCACAGGGAGGGAACTGTGTGTGCTAGAGAGAACTGGGTACTTGCCCAGCCTCTTGCAGCTGTGCAGGGACCATTTCCATGGTGGTAGAACAGCTCAGTGGCCTCTTTGCCAGGCAGCTAAGACTCAGGTGAGGAATAAAGGAAAAAAGCAGAGACCAACATCTTGGAGGGGCTCTAAGTGGGCAGGCTTTTCCTCTTAGAAGAGGGCAGCAAAGGATTCTGTTTCCAAGAATTCCAGCAGTTTGGTTTGGATCAGAGCACCCCTTGCTGCTACCAGCTCAGTTAAGCTCAGTCCTGCTGGAATCTGAGAGTAATGCTGGCAGGAAAGGAGCTCCATCATCCCACTGTGGCAGCAGGAAGCAGCAGCAGAGCTGTGCAGACATGCAGCCACCCAGCCATGCCACCATCGCTGCTGGGAGCTGCTTGCTAGGAAATGAGACAGTGCTGGATGGCTCACGGGGTTTGTTTATTGCTACAGGAATGGGAACAGCTGAGTTCAGTAAAGTGACAAACTTCATTGGACCACTGGTGGGGCTGCAGCCCCAGGGAAGGTTTGTGCCTGTGTGCACAGCTCAGGCCTGGCCTGTCCTGGGGCCATGAGCTGGGCTGGACTGAGGTGGCTCTCCCAGGGGCAGGCCCAGCCCACCCCCTTGGAGGAAAGAACCACGGGTCCTGACACTGGTACCTGGGACAGCACAGGGCAGCTGTGCCCAGGAGGGAATGAATTAATGTGTGAAAGGAAAGACAGCCCACTTTGGTGGTGCCTCAAAAATCAATCGGTGAGCCCTCAGGGCTCAGTCTGGGATGTTGGGTAGGACTGTAGGATTGTCCTCAGAGGGAAGACATAGCAAAGAGCAGGACACCCCTTCAGGAATACTCCAAGAGGGGCCAGGCTGGGCAGAGCAGCCTGGTGGAGCTCATGGTTTACCTTGTTCCTGCAGTAAATTAGCTGGTGCCTGCTACTCTCCCAGCCCCAGGCTTGTCAGGGCCTGCAAAAGGCCACCCCAGGTGATGAACCACAGCACCTCACCAGGTTGCTTTGCAAACTGGTGGCTGAGTCATGGGGTGGCTCAGTGCTTCAGGCCAGAGCCCTGGTTTGGCTGCCTCAGTGATAGTGTCCTGTTATCTGAGGGATCTGCCAGGGCTGCAGCCTTGAGCCTGCTGGTAGCAGAGGACTTTGCTCTCCACCATGTAGTGAGGCAAAGGCCAGAGGCCAAGGAATGCAAAGATTAGGACTGGGGCAAGGTGGAGAAAGAGAAGAAAGCTCCCATGTCCATAGCTGCCTCAGCACACGGACTCCGGTTCTGACGCACAGATGATGGAGCGCAGACTTTGAGATGCTCTTTAAGGAGGAGTCCAAGCTCTCAGAGCCCAGGCTGTCAGCCAGTCCTGGTTCTGCTGGTACAACTGGATGCTGGGTACCTCTGGCATCACGGCACGCTCCCCTGGCCCAGCGGCACCACCACCTTGTCCAGCCAGAGCAGGGTGTGCTGTGCCGAGCGCAGCTGCCGGCGGTGGATGCGGCGCAGCCGCAGGAGGTAGAGGACGATGGCCAGCGCCACGACCAGGATGCAGGCAAAAAAGAGATAGTGGTTGTAGACAAAAGAGAGGCGCAGCCAGGAGGCGTGTGCTTGCCGGATGCTCTCCTGACGGAGATCCCTACGGAGAGGAACATCAGGACTGGCCACGAGATGCAGCGGGGCACTGCCAGGGACCTGCCGTGCTCTGTGCAGAGCCCTCACCCGGTGCAGTTACTCCTGCCCCTCCCCAGCCACCCTTCTCTGTGACGCCACCCGCCAGCCGAGGGTACCTGAGTGGCAGAAACCGCGTCTTGTAGAGGATGGCCCCCAGCGTCCACTGCACCTCCCGGTCGTACACCAGCTGGGCTGTGCGCAGGCTGGGGTAGTCCAGTGGGAACTGGAAGCCCTCGTGAAGGACTTGGTACACCCAGGCCGATTTGAAGCACTGATACCTGCGGACACAGCACACAGGAGCATCAGCCAGACGCTAACAACTGCACCGGTCCCTTTCCTGGCCCCCAGGAGCTCCAGCCATGGCACCTCCCAGCTCGTGCATTTACTTCAGCCGGTGCTGGTCAGCATGTGCCGAGTAGAGGCCGCCGCGGAAACGCTGAGTCAGCACCTCCCACCGCTGGCTGCAGTACTCCTGGGGGAAGGAGAAGTTGGGGTTCAGAACAGAGAAGCCGCCCTCACTCCCAGCCCAGGAGCAGCCCAGCTCCCCCGGGCTGAGGCAGCACCCACCTGGGCAGCAGAGGTGAAGGTGGGGGCACTGTATTGGCCCCCCAGGCGCAGCACGTCCTCAGTGCAGTAGAAGAACTCCGAGAAGCCGTAAAACTCGCTGTTGCTGAAGTCGATGGGTGCTTTGTAGGTCTCCACCAGGGAGGCATGGCTGCCATTGGACCCTGTCAGGAGGGGCTGCAGCAGCTTTGTACAGGCCTGCCAGTCCCCTTGTCCCCTCATGTGCAGGGTTTGGCTACCCCTCACCACTGTGTCCTCCAGCCCCACAGGCAGGCAGGGGTCCAAGAAGGGCATCTTAGGGCTCAGCCCTGTCTGCTGGTTGTGCAGGCTGGAAAACAGTCCAGGAAAAATGGCAATTGCACAGGAGTCCTATACCACATCCCAAAAGCCTAATCTAGCCCTGTTCCACATCCAGATGCCCTCTGCAGACCAGACTAGGCTGTGTCCTCTTGTGCCCTGCAGAGCCGGTGCCTTCCCTGCCACCTGCTAAGGCTGAACTCCCCAGATCTGTCACGCTGGCCTGCAGCTACGTGCTCTGAGCACCTCTAGGGTGCAACAAGGCACAGCCCACCCCACCCAGGACATGGGGATCTGTGCCTCTGCACAGCCCCTGGGGATCTGGAGGCAGGGGCTGCTCCCGGCACAGGAGTACCTGGGCACCAAGCCTCCAACTGTGGCGACAGCTTCATGTAGTGCTCTTGGAAGGAAAGGAGAAACAGGAGACAGAAGAGCTCAAGGTGGGGATGCAATGGAAAGTTGTGTTGAGTGAATCGGTGCTGGAGGAGGGAAAGTCAGAGCAGGAAAAGCCAAAAGCCACTAGGAGGGGCCTCCCTGTAGCCTGTCACAAGGAGAGAAGTAGGAAGGCAGGGAGCTGTGGCACTGGTAACGCCTGCCAGGCTTGGAGAACAGCAGCAGCCAAGCCCTCTGTGCCAGCCCAGGCACCAGCTGCTGCCAGCGTGGCTGTGGGAGCTGTTATCACCACAGGCAGCTTGTGAGGCAAATCCAAGGGGGAGAGCACAGCATGAAGGAACCAGCACCCCATTTCACAATGCTCTAGTGGGGGCACCACTAGGTGAGGCAGCAATACCGGTTGTGCACATAGGTTTGGTTCAGCACATGTTCCTCATAGCGCTGCCGGGCAAAATTGCCCCCGAAGCCCAGGAAAGTGTTGACGTAGACATGGTACATGTGGCCAGTGTGCTGCACGTCACAGCCCAGGTTGAATTCTGCCAGCAAGCTCTTGGCAGCCTCGTCCTGCTGACACACATAGGTCCATGATCAGCAGCAATCCAGGGAAGGCAGGAGCTGCTCTCGGGGACCAGACACGCACCTGCTGTGGGGAGGAGATGGCTCCGGTGTCGGGCACTTCGTAGGCAATCTGCAGGGAGGCGCCTCCCATGTCAAGGATCCCAACTGTTCGTTTCCGAACCAGGGACTTCCCCTGATCCCCGAGTGCTACGGTGACCACTGCATCTTCCTCTGCAACCCACAGCAGCATGTCAGCAAGAGGCAAGGCCTGGGGTAGCATCTTCTCCCTTCCACCATCACCCCAGAGCTGCTTCATGGGGCTCCTCCCCCTCTGCTGGCAGACCCCAAGGGCCAGTTGCACCTGGTCACCTCCCAGGTCCAGGAAAGTTTCACACTTATAATGTGCTTCAGAGGTTGATCTTAGCTACAGCACTGGTACAAAGTCCATCATGCTCTGCTTAGACCCTCCCAGCTGTTCTACAAGCAGCCAGACTCACCATCCTCATGATCAAACCGTCCCAGGACAAAGTTGATGCCAATCCAGGCATAGACACCTGCACAGGAAGAGGTCATTACAACAATATACTAAAGAGGAACAAGCAGTGCTTTGTGGCAGCTCCTACCTTCCTGCTTCCCTGAGATTACTTCTGCGTGTGATTTGGAGAAGAGGAAATCAAACTCCAGGGGCACATTTGTCACCAAGTCTTCCAGGATTGCAGCTTGCTGCCTGCAATGGTGCAGGAGAGGGAAAGATGCTGGTGAAGAGACCAGGAATCACACCGCACTACAGCCCCTGTTCAACCCCACAAGTTTAGCTGCTGCAGCCAGCATGCTTTGGAGATGAAAAACGGATCTATTTGAGATCCTCAGTCAAAAGCATCTCCTCTCAGCTCCCTCCTAGCATGCTAAAACTGCATCCCTTACCACTCACCCCTACAACACGCCCTTTCCTTTTTCATCCCCCCCCCCACAGGAATCTCGATTTTCCCGCAAGGTCCAAGAGCAGGCATCTGTATCGCCCCTCCTCGGGGCTGAGGGATCCCAGCGCACCCCAGGCTCGCCTGACAAGCGCGGCGGACTCACCGCTCGGGCAGCAGCCGCATGCCCGCCGTGCACAGGATGTACAGCGGCGTCTCCTTGTGCTTGCGCGGCGGGACGTGCGCGGCCGCGAAGCGCAGCAGCGGCCGCAGGTAGGGGGTGGCCTGCTCGGGGGCAGCCGCGGCCGCGGAGATGCCTGGCGAGAAGGGCGCCGTGAGCCAGCCCGCCCCGGCCGTGCGCGGGGGCTCGGGCTCGCACCGGAGAGGGGCAGCACGCACCGGGTTTAATTTTCTTCACGACGGGGCGGCTGCTCCGGTCCCTCATCTGCTTGATGTCCAGCAGGTCGTGGGGGTTGCCGTTGTGCGGGGGCCAGAAGTAGACGAAAACCCGGGACCCGCTGCTCCCGCAGTCCACCACCACCCCGTAATTAAGGGACGGGTCCTCGGTGTCCGTGGCCGTCAGCTCCTCCGCCCGCGCCAGGTACCTGCGGCACGGCGGCACGGCGGCTCAGCACCGGCGGCCGCCGGTGACCGCGCTCCCCGCCAGCCCAGTCCCCGCTCACCTCTCGTCCCGCCGGGAGGCGCGGGGCGGCGCGGCCCAGCGGCGGGGCACGGCGGCCGCCAGCAGCAGCAGCAGCCCCAAGAGGAGAGCGAGCCCCAGCACAGCCGGGCGCTGCCGCGGCCCCGGGCACGGTCCCACCGAGCGCCACGACGGGCAGAAAACGCCGACCCTGAGGGCACAGACCACCGCTGAGCACCGGCACCGCGCCGGCCTCGACCCCCCGGCCCGGCCCCGCTCACCTGGCCATGTGCGCCCGCTGCCGCCCGCCCGCGCATCGCCGCCGCCGGCACCGCCGCCGGCACCGGCGGACACGTCACCGCCCGCCGCCGCCGCCGCGCCCCGCCGGCGGAGCCCCGCCCCCGCGCCGCGGCGGCCAATCGGCGCCGCCCGCCCTGCTGGAGCCACGCCCATCCTGCCCCGTGACCAATCGTACCGGGCGGGGCGCGCCCCCTCGCGCGGGCGGGGGCGGAGCCCGGCTTCGCCCTTGCTCCCGCGTCCGACCTTCGGCGGGAGGCGTCACGCGCAGCCTTCCGGCCAATCGCGGGCGCCCAAATACACAGCGCGCGCCCACGTCCGGAGTGGCGGGCTCGCCGGCCAATGGCGACTCTTCGGCCCCCCGGAGAGGCGGGGCGAGCGGGCCAAAGGTCGCGGGCGCGGCGGCCAATGCGCTGCGCGGTAGGGCGGGGCGCCAAGTTGAGACACCCAATGGGCTGCGAGGGCCGGCAGGGCGGGCAGTCCCGGCGGCCAACGGGCAGCGCGCCCGAACGCGCCGAGGAAGCGGCCGGCCAGTGGCGGCGCCCGAGCCGCGGCGCCGGCGGCCAATTAGCGCGGCGCGCGTGGGCGGTGCGCGGCCAGCCGAGCCAATGGGCGCGCCCCAGGGGCGGGCGCCGGCCCGCGGCGGCCAATGGGCGGCCGGGAGGGGCGGGGCGGCGCGGGGCGCGGCGGGCGCGGGCCGGGGCGGCGGCGGCGGCGGCGGCGGCGCGATGGAGCTGGGGGCGGGAGCGGGGGCGGGCGCGGGCCCCGGCGCGCGGGGCGGCGCGGAGTCGGGCCGCGTGCTGCTGCTGCTGATGGGCGGCGGCGGCGGCGCGGGCCGGGCGCGGCGGGGCGGCGCGGAGACGGAGGTGGCGCCGGGTCCCGGTCCCGGCCCGGGGGGTCCCGAGCCGCGCTCCCCGCCCGCCCCCGACTACGAGGCGCTGCCCCAAGGCGCCGCCGTGTCCACGCACATGCTGGCGGGCGCCGTGGCCGGCGTCATGGAGCACTGCGTGATGTACCCCATCGACTGTGTCAAGGTGCGGCGGGCGCGGGGCGGGCGGGCCGGGGCGGCGGGCCGGAGCCCCGGGCTCGGTCTGACGGGCCGCGCGGCCGCGCCCGCCCCGTTTTGCAGACGCGGATGCAGAGCCTGCAGCCGGAGCCCGCCGCTCGCTACCGGAACGTGCTGGAGGCCCTGTGGCGCATCGCCCGCACCGAGGGCGTCTGGCGGCCCATGCGGGGCCTGAACATCACCGCCACCGGCGCCGGGCCGGCGCACGCCCTCTACTTCGCCTGCTACGAAAAGTTAAAAAAGACGCTGAGCGACGTTATCCACGCAGGGGGCAATAGCCATGTGGCCAACGGTACCGGCCCCGGCACGCAGGGTGGGAGCGGGGCGGGAGCGGCGGGCCTGGCGGTAGGGCGGTCCCGCCGCGGGTCGGGTGCCTGCATGTCCTAAAGCCCTGTGCTCTCTCCAGCCATGAGCCAGCCAAGCGGCGCCGGGCACGGGAAGCGGCGCCGGGCACGGGAAGCGCCGCTCCGCGCCTGCCAGAGCTGCTGCCAGGTATCTGGCCCGAAGCAGGTTAGTGGCCCTGGCTCGGGAGGATGCCGGTGGACAGCAGCTGCCTGCAGACAAGCTGGGACTGGCCGTGGCCCGTGCGTTGGCAGTGCCAGAGCTCGCCCCAGGAATGCCACATGGTTTCGGAGCCCGTCTCGCCATGGTGCCCGTTACTCGACTCAAGGACCCGCCACAGTAGGGGGAGCACGGGGCTGAGGGGAGAGCAGGGCGTGTTCCGCCCTTGGCAGGCACACAGAGGAGTGCCAGCAGGCTTCTCCATGGGACGTGGGGACACCCGCCATCCTAAGGCCTCCCTGCCAGCTGGTGGCATTGGCCTGTCCCCCATGGAGCGGGCACAAATGAGTCCTCGTCACCCCGTGGGACATGGCAGCCTGTCACAATCTTCTCCCTCTCCATCTCACTCTGGGGGGGAACCCCTGAGGACCAGCCTGCCTTTTGGAAGGGAGATGGAGGCCACTTTCAGATCTCGCCTTTTTCAGGGGCCTCCTCCTGTGCCTTGGCCGGGGACCTGGGGCTGTGGTGGAGTCCCAGGGTCCCTCACCTTTCGCCCCCTCACATGTGGCAGTTCTTGTTTTGCAGGTGCAGCCGGGTGTGTAGCAACGTTGCTCCACGATGCAGCCATGAACCCTGCTGAAGGTAAAGATGGTCTTGGCCTGCCAGGAGGGGAGAATCAGGGTCTGCCCAAGCCTCTTGGGTCCCCTGTGTAGTACAGTGTTCTTGTTCTTGCCTGACTGCAGGGGTTCTTTGGGGGCCCATGGCTCCTGGTAGCTGCCTGTTATGGATAGGGTGGGTAGAACAGATTAACTCAGGAGCACAGCAAACCACGGTTTAGGAGGAGCTGGGAGGGAGGGCATGGGCCTTTCATCCAGGAGTTTGGCTGGGGACTGTTACCTGGGGCAGGAGAGAAGGCAACAGAGATGTGATTGGCACTGTCAAAATCATTCTAAGTGCATGGAAGCTGGGCACTGCTGTATTGAGATCTAGGGAAGAGGTGGTACGGTTGTGGGCCTGTGTTCAAGAGAAAATTAAAAGTGGGGGGGATTTAAAAACATGCTAGACAAGTTGGGAGAAGGGAGAGTTTGCAAAATGTCTGGAAGATGCTGGTTTCTATGAGCCTGGTACATATGAAAAAGACATAGGGAGTTAGTACTTTTACTAAGTCCATGGAAGTGGTGGGAGAAGGAGAAGCAATGAGGAAAAACCAGTCATGAAGGTATTTTTCTCTCTTAAAACTGGAGGGCTTGTGATAGTGCAGGGTCCAGCTGATCAGGGCACAGAGCCTGCCTCCCCACTGCACGACAGGGACCCCGAGGAGCAGGCAGCTGCCAGACCATTGTCATGGAGCTTCTCTTGTCATGAGTGTACTAGTTCAGCATGGCATCATTTTTAGCTCCTTATGGTGACATTGAGATAGGGGGAGGTGGAACAGTGGCAGGCTGTGCTCTGGACTCCCCATCCCACTCTTGGATGTGTTAGGGGGGTTTGGTGTCTGAACCTTGCCTGGAGTGGCTGCATTTTGGCAGTGGCTGCCAGCAGTTCCTGGTTAGTGGGCTCTGCAATGAGCTGTGGTTATTCTGGGCTGCAGTGGGAGTGGCAGGGGAGTCTTATCCACATCGAGAGCTGTCTGGGAAATAAGAGGCTGGATGCCAGGGGGTTCTTCTGCCCGAGTGATAGCTCTGCAGCAGTGGATGGGGAAACATCGGTTGCTTGGGAGCAAGGGTGGATCTGGACTGTAAGCAATGGGATATCAGGATATTCCCTGGGGCTGTGGCATGTGAGTGGCTTCGTAGTGGTGATGTCTGTGTGACAGTGATGCCTCAGCAGCTCTAAATAGCTGGTGTCCTGTCTGGAGACACATGAGCACTGGTGGTTTGAGTTGTCTCTCTTCGGCTCTTAGGCCAGTGTGACCAAACTCCAAGCAGTTGGAGGAAGCCTGGCTTTGTGTTTACCCTTCTCTCTTCTCTCCTCCTCCGTCCCGTGCCTGGGTCCTGGCTGCTGCCGCCGCCTGTGCCAAGTGGTGAAGCAGAGGATGCAGATGTACAACTCGCCTTACCAGCACGTGATGGACTGTGTGCGGGCCGTGTGGCGCAACGAAGGGGCCGGAGCGTTCTACCGCAGCTACACCACCCAGCTCACCATGAACATCCCCTTCCAAGCCATTCACTTCATGACCTACGAGTTCTTGCAGGAGCAGCTCAACCCCCACAGACAGTACAACCCAGGCTCCCACGTGGTCTCCGGAGCCTGCGCGGGGGCTGTGGCTGCTGCCGCCACTACGCCTTTGGACGTTTGCAAAACGCTGCTCAACACCCAGGAGTCGCTGGCCTTGAGCTCCAACATCAGCGGACACATCACAGGCATGGCGAATGCCTTCAGGACGGTGTACCAGGTGGGCGGTGTGACCGCCTACTTCAGAGGGGTCCAGGCCAGAGTCATTTTTCAGATGCCCTCGACGGCGATTGCCTGGTCTGTGTACGAGTTCTTCAAATACATCCTTACCAAGCGCCAGGAGGAGCGTCGGGCTGGCAAGTGATCCAGAGCCAAACGCCGTTCCAGACCTGTCTCACATCCCCTCCTGGTGTGTCTTCTGACCCCTCTCCCTTTTTGGTTTGGTTGTGTTGAAGAGAGGGGCAGTGAAGCCCTTTGGGGTTTAGCGATGCCATTTTTTGCCTGTGGCTGTTGCAGCGCTGCTCAGGCTGCACAGCTTGCTCTCTGCTGGGCTCCTCCGAGATGTCCTGCTGGCAGCTGCAGCCCAGGTCACACGCCCTGGCACTTTGGTGGAGCTGTGCTCCTGATTTCCTTAACCACAACATCTCACGCAAAACTCGGCCCTGCTCAGAGGGAAGGTGAATGTTCTGGCCTGCCCCAGCAGGGCCAAGCTGAGCTCGCAGTCACCAAGGAGGGGGTGACAGTGGGATGCTGGGGGCTTGGTCTGGCTTTTGGCTGAAGCAAAGTGCAAGTCTTGGCCGTTGTCTCGTAGCACGCACAGTGATGCTGACTGCCCTGGTGGTGGTGGTGGGCGAGGGGAGGATGGCACTTGAGGAGGGAGCCTGTAGGTTTGTTCTTGTTCCTGCTCTTGACACCTCCAATAAAAACAGTTCTGCTCTATCCTCATGTCCCATTCTTACTCCAGCATGGCCCAGCTCCCAGCACTGTGCCTTTGTGACTGTGCCTGTGCTGAGCTCTTTTGATGGATGCCAGAGCAGGGGGGGGAAGAGCAGCCTGGGAGTGGTGGTGGGAGAAGGGCGCCTGTCTGGCCCAGTCACCCTGGTGACATGCAGGGATGAGGGTGCCCCCATCCCCTCTGGGTCATGGTCCATCACCTGCTGCTGCTGTGAGTTGTGACCCTGGAGGAGAAGCTGAGGTTTATGTTCCTTGGCAAAGTGGTCCCACACCCTCCATCTGATTGGGGTCCTCAGGATGCTTCCAAATTGCTCCAAATGGAGATGTTGGCAGGAGGGGTTGTGTGTCAGGAACAGCGCAGGAATTCGGTGCTGAGTGAGGCTGGTTGGCTTTGTGCACCTCATGCAGGAGATTTGGGGCTCGGCAGAGCCCTGTAAGTTTGAGTAATTAGACTAGTTTGATGCTTGATGAGCGTCTCAAGATTGCTCAAAGTGCTAATATTTTTTCCAGTCTAGAGGTAATTAGTAGAATAACTTTTTTTTTAACTTGTTAATTGCCTCGATGCCAGTTTATTTCAGGGTCCCACCCAACTATGGAGCTGTGAGCTGAGCACTGAAGTATTGCCTCATTGTGCTGACCTGCCCAGAGCAGATCTCTGGGTTTCTTGAACGAGGTGCTTGTGGGTGATGCCTGACTCGCCCAGTGTTTTCAGGTGTGGCACGTGTCCCACAGAGTCATGCCCAAAATAATTCCCTGGAGGAAATGCATTCACAGCTGTGGTATGTGCTGCTGGTGGGTATCTGGGTCGGATTAGAGCTGCTCCAGAGGATCTGCTGGCCTGACCTGCCCGAAAGACTGCTGGAGTGGGCTGTGGTGAGGACAGAGGGGTTTTCCTGTGGCTGGCAAGGCTGCTGGGTAAGCAAGGGGGATGTGCTGCCCTCAGTGGCTTTGGGCTCCAGCATGGCTGGGGGGCAGGGACCCCTGCACTGCATGGCTGGGTGCTTAACACCCTGCCCAAACCCCAGCCCAGCCCTGCATTCGCCTTTCCCTTACACATCTCTCTTGCCTGGTTCCTCAAGGTGGTGAGGGAAGCTGAATGACCACCTGTGGGATTTTTGATGGCTGCCTGGCAGGTCTGGATGTCCCTGGCACTGCTCTGCAGCCTGGGTCCTCCTGGTTGTGTGCTGCGCCCATCCTCTGCTCCCTGGCATGGGCTGCAAGCTCCTGGTCCCTGCTTTATCTGCACAAGCAGAAGGGTGAGAAACTCCTTAAAGACACAAAAGCTGCAGGAGGTCAGGAAATTGAAGTTTTCCCACTATTTCAGGAGCTGTGACTTTAAGAAATAGTCTGAGTATTGCAAGATTTGGCAGCTCTGCAGCTCCTCCACCCAAGAGGGAGAAGCAGAGATGGCTGGGAGAGACCAGAGCAGGATTAGGTTGGAGGGCAGGGCATTAGACAGGAGTTTGCAGAAGATGGGTACATCTGGGCTTTGCCAGGACTGGTCTCTGCCCAGGAGCTGAAAGCTGTTGGCAGCAGAGCTGCAGCTTTGCCTTGAGCTCTCACCACACACTGGGGCAATGGCAAACCCCATGGAGGGAAAAGCATAAACAGACTGGGGCTGGGGCAAGATTCACACTATTAAGTCCATCAGCTGCTGGAAGAAGCTCTATAAATGTCAGTGGATGAAGGCATGATTGAAAGTGTCTCTAGGATGTTTTCCAGGAATAACAACCCACAGAAGTGCTGGGGGAGGGAGTGAGACCCCCAGGAACAGGGAGATGGTGAGTCAGCACAGCCCAGAAATGCTGCTATGTGAGCAATTGGCCTAAAGCACTCCCCTGGCAAGGGCACAGCCTTCCTGCTCTCCCGGCGCTTTGCCAGCCTCCCAGCAGCAGCTGGGGTTTCACAGTGCAGGAACAGCAGCCCTGTTCTGGGTTTGGCACTGCAGGGACAGTGGAGCTGCCATGGGGATTCCCAGATATCCCTTGGGACAGGCCACAATGGACAGGAAAAATGTCCTGCTGCCATCTCTTAGCTGAATGCCTGACACAAACTAAGGGCTGGTTGTGGCAGTTTGCTGCTGCTCCCCAGCTCTGCCAGGGTGGGGGTGTTCCCTTGCCAGACAGACTGGTTCCTCTGGCACCTTTGGCATCACGAGGTGCCTGGAGGCAACGGAGTTATTGGCTAGTTCAGCTCTGGCTGCTGCCTTTCCAAGGTCTGATAATGCCTCAGTGTGGCCACGCTGCTCTGGGTCTGTCCTATGGCCTCCTCGGTATTTGGCTGTGCTTCGAGTGAGATCTCTCCTCCTACAGCCTCTTCTGAGTGAAGAGACTATTTTTGGCTTTCCAGCAAGGAAGCAATGCTCAGCCCAGCAGAGTTTTGCAGACTATCCCTTCTCCCCTCACCTCCCTGCAGGATCCCCAGCCACATCCTGCACAGGCAGGGATTTGCTGCCTTGCCTTCCTGTGTCCAGCTGTCCTTGAGCCCCATCCCGGTGTGCTCTGGGTCGGGAGAGCCCTGCAGCCCCCGGCCAGGCAGAGCTGGGAGGCCCCACTGGCCTGGCCCTGCCCCAGTTGCAGGTCTGGGGCTGCACTGCTGTGCCGTGGCACAAGCCCAAACTATTGCAGGCAGCCCGAGGCTGCTGTGCCAGGAGCAGCTCAGGAGCCCCCAGCTCTGGCCTTCCTGGGGTAACTGGAGATGGCTGCACTCCTGCAGGATAAGGGCAGAGCTGGGGGCTGAGGGTTCGTCTTACTCAGAGAAAGAAGGGGGGGGAGATCTCTCCAGTGTCTGTCCTGTACCTTCAGCTGGGGCCAGTGGGCTCCTGAGCTGCTGCTGCCTTCGTGACCCCACACAGGGCACTGGGGTCCCAGTGCTCAGAGGCTTTTGTCAGCCCAGCTCGGGGGCAGGCAGGGGGGCAAGAGCACTGCCCTGGAAAGCACATCCCTGGGCTGTGCCAGCACCCTGGGCTGTGCCAGCACCCTGGGCTGTGCCAGCACCCTGGGCTGCCCTGATTCCTGCTCCTCTGCAGAGGGTGCCTGACAGCCCTGCTGGGTGGCAGGAGGTGGCTGGAGCCCATGGGGAGCACAGAGATGGGCTCCCAGCCTCCCTCCAGCCCCAACCCACCCTGGCTCTGGGATTCCTCAGGGCTGTGTCAGGCTCCAATAAAGCTGTACAAGTTCTCATGACCTCCCGGCCTTCCAGCAGTGCTGAACACGAGCACTGGGGCTCCTGGACACAGAGCAGACATTGCCTCTGGTGGGCCTGGAAACCCCCTCCTCACCCACATCGCTGCCTGGCTTAGACTGAGAGGCAGCTCTGGGCTGGGCTGGTCCCAGCCTGCCTGGCTCTGTCCAAGCATGGCAGTGCAGGGAATAGCCTGAAAGGCTATTTCCCTTTCTAGGCAGGGAATATACCCTGAAAGGTAAAGCTGAGGCCGAAAACCTTCTTTCCTGTCTATAGAGAATCACTAGAAGAAGCAATCCCCTAGGCTGGGCTGGGACAGCTCTGGGCATGTTTGCTTTGATGGGGAGATGCTGGGTGAACACCCCTACTTAGTGCAGGCTCCTGTGTCAAATTCCCCCCAATAAGGAACTGCAAAGTGGCATCCTGACTGGAACTGGGGTTGCACTGGGGAGGTGACAGAGGTGGGGAAGGAGCTGCTCCTGGGCTGGATGGGAGTGGCAGAGGGGTGGCAGCAGGGGTCACTCTTGAAGTATCCTCACGTGGGTGAGGTCAGCTCGGGCATGCTGCGACACTAGAGCTTGGTCTGGGATCATCCTCAAAAGCAGCTGAAGCAATGGCTGTTCCAGGGGACTGGTGGAGGCTTCAGCCCTAACCTGCCCGGCCCAGCATGTCTGCAGATACTGCACTGGCAGCCGGTGTCAGCCCCAAAGAAAGCCTGGAATGCTCCCCGGGGCAATACAGCTTTGGGACTGACATAGGAGACTGCTGGCAGGCACTGACCATGCCTGGCATGCCGAGGTGCCAGGAAATCCAAGCATCTTTAGTTGCCCGTTAGACCTGAGCAGTATGTCACCTGGAGCATTGCCAAGGGCTATAAAAAAGGTGGGGAACTGGGCCAAAACTGGGCTGTGCCTCAATTGGGACACAGCTCCCTCTGGTGAGGATGCAGCTGCGACGGGCACCAGGCGCTGCACACCAACAGCAATCCCATGTCCTTGGGCAAGACCCTGCAGGGAGGGATCGCCCTAGCTAGAAGCTGCAGGCAGCGTTCAGGGCATCAGTTTTTACAGGAGCTCCTGGAATGAGGAGCGCTGCCTCCCGCGGGGGTCGGAGCCCGCAGGTGCCGTGGGGACATGGGGACACAGCCGCCTGCCCCGAGCCCACGAAACCAGCCCAGCCTTCCCCGTGTCCGGCCTGTCCCGCCGCCCCTCCCCGCGGGGACACCGCACCCTGCCCCGAGGCTCCGCAGCTCTCCAAGCCTGGGGGGATTCGGGCACCCCCGAAGCGCGGAACTCCGCGGGGTGGGGGGCAGGAGGGTGTCCGTCTGTCTGTCTGACACTCCCTGTCCCCGGGCGCCGGCCGATAGATGGCGGTGCCGTATCTCGCTTGGGGACAGCCCCGCGAGCAAGTGTCCCTGTCCCTGCTGGCAGTCCGGGGTACCCGAGCATCCCGGGCAGCACCCCGGGATCCCGCCGGCCCCGGCACCGCCCGCCTGCAGCAGCCCCGGGCGAGGAGGATCGTCCCCAGGGAAGTGTCTGTGGGTTTTATTTATTGCCTAGGTGGGAGACAGTGCCATGATGTCACCGGGAAGGGCTCTGGCAGGAGCAGGGGCAGCTTTGACCTTCAGCAGCACTGTGTTCTGGAGGGGATGAAGATTCAGTCTCCCTCTGTGGACAGGCCACCTGAATCCTTGGTTGAATCAGAGTGAATCCTTCGTGGGGCACCTGGATCCCTGGTGGCAGCCCTGTGCCTGATCTCACCACGGCAGGAAGAAGGAACAGCTCAAACATGCAGGTCCCGTC